ATATATATATATATATATATATACATACACAAATACATATATTCAAGTGAGAAAGCATATACACAATATAGATATTTACTTCCCTTTATGTCATAGATTCCAACTGACTCTTTCTCCACTTTCTCTATTTTTTGAATACTTCTTTAGGATAACAGATTAATACTCCTATTCATATTTAAAATCATGCTCTAGGTTTGTATAACATATTAATTGAAATATCTTTTAGTTACTTTTACAAGTTTTGAGCAATTATATCATATCTATCTGAATTTATTGTAAATCCTTCTCAGTTTATCAGAGAAAAATGTAATCTCCAGCTGTGCTTCTACCCATCCACTAAACCCTTTTTTAATTCTGAAAGTTAATTGCCACTTTCTCAATTCTACCTCTCAATTCAAAAGTGTGTTGCTTCCCTTAAAAGTGTTTTTCTTGACTTTACTTACGTTTGTAGTGTTTTTTAGCTTAACTTTTAATTATAAATAATGCACAAATATTTTCTCCTTTAATAGAATTTACCTCTGCAGGTGTTCCTAATGCCCTCTGGAATCACTTACTCTATCTCCAATCCTATTGACAGAGTTACCATTAACTATTTTGATTTTCCAACCTTTTTCTGCTCATGCATCCTTGTAAACTTATAACGTGTGCATATGTATTTGTATAAGAGTGATTCGTTTTCTGTGTATGAATGTGTTTCTATGTATGATATGGTCAAAAAATACAATGGTTATTTAAAAATTTATTACAGTAAAAAACATATTGCCATTAATCTCTCTTAAGCTACTCCCCATCGCAACCACTCCCCCTCATCTATGTGTGGTCACACATGCCTATGTTCCCAGAACTTAAAGGCTGAGGCAGGAGGATTACTGCAAGTTCAAGCCCAGCTTGGACTGCAAAGTGAGTTCAAGGCCAGCCTGAACTGCACAGTGAGACCCTGTCTCACAAAGATTTTTAAAAAACCACACACACACACACACACACACACACACACACACTGACCCCTCCCCCAACTCCATTTCTACCCATTTTCTGAAGCAGTGCCATTAGTCTTCTTTCATAGCTGTACTGCCATAGCTCTCTCAGTGTCTTGATTCAGTTTAAAACGTTTACCTTTCATGGTCATTTTAACTCTGTAGAAGGGCCATAAGTTGCTCAGTACCAGATCCAGTGAATTAGGTAGATGAGGGCACACTGTATATTTTGTGAACCTGCCTTTCCCTGATACAGCACTTGGCAGCAGCATTTACCATATTTTTTGTCACACTTCATAAAGACGCAAAAGACCACTTTCAGGACTGCTTCATATATGGCAAGGGGTAAGTGGAGGGATAAATGGCAGTGTGTCTTTTACCATAATAAATTTTAAAAAAACTTAAAGTCACTGTATATTTTGATCACTCTTGCTCATGCACATACTAAATTTCTTTTAGTACATGTTGATTTGTATCTTGCTGTTGTCACTTAATTTGTAGCTTTCTCTGCCAATGTTTGTTGTGTGTGTGCACATGCACACTTAAGGATAAATATATACATAAAATTATTTTTACAACTCCACAGTATTTCATTTTTAAAATTTTTTTATTTTAAAAAGATTAAGATAAAAGAAGACATAACAAAACAGTTCAGAACAGAACAATTTAAGCAGCATAGTGTTTCACCACAAGACAATCGACATAATAGTAGCTACCATAGTGTCTCTTTCTTTGAAAAACTTGAGTATACCTTCATACACTGTAGTATCGAGCATAACAAAATAGTATAAAACCATTCAGGAAAATGAAAGTATTATAGGACATTCAGAACCAACTAACAGAATATGAACAGTGGTTACTATATTATCTCCTTGTCCATAAAAATTTTGTTTATACTATCACACATAATAAAATCTGGTAAGATACAACATGATTGAAACAATGGAGACAGAATTACAAAAGCATGGTAGGATTTCAAAGCAAGATGATATTAAATCAGCACTGGCTGTGATGGTTGTCAAGGTTGTTGACAGCTTACATTGTGATATTTGATATGATACCCATCTGGACTGTATACTAATTTTGCTGTTACTCCCTCAGAGTTCTCAGAACAATCTTATTAAAACTTTAATTGTAATTTAAATTTACTTTTTAAATATTAAGACTAACTTTGCAGGTATGTGGTCTTCCTGTTTAGCAAATTCTGCCTTATCCATTGTTTTACATGTATTTCATGTAATTCATGTTTTGTGTTCTTTTTAAAGCAGCCTTTTCTGTATATCATGAATAAAAAGATTTGTGTACACATGCCTACAAAATAAACAGTCACTATATTCAATTATATTTTTATATTTTTAACTATTCTTTCAGTTGAACTCCTATTATTGTTTCTATAAGTTTTTGTAGGGCTCTTTAAATTATTTTTTAAATAATGAGTGTTACACAAAAATATACATTCTGAGATACTGAGAAATCATTCACTACTATCAAGAACCCCACTCACCAATCACATAGGAAAAGGGAGTTCGTTCTTTGTAAGCAAGTAGAGAATAGGTAAAGTAACAAAACAGGAAGATGAATGGAACTGAAAATGATAAGTCACTGATAAGAGAAAGCTCTCACAGTAGAGGGTATAGAAGCTTTGTATTTCCTATAGTCTGATCCTATGGCTAATACAAAAAGCCAGATTCTTCCCATTATATCAAGATAATTGTTAATTTAATGGGGAAGGGAGTAAAGTTGAAGTGGTTTGCCAGATTTCCCGCTTTTCTTGAAGAAATGGAAATTAATAATTACTTGGAATATCTCTGTCTCTTCTAGGAATTCATTGTATGACATTTGTGCTGTTTTATCTCTGTCTTTTGGTTTGTCAATAAGATAATATAATTCATATGTATTATTGAATATCTAGAATTTACCTGATTGAATTACAGCAATGTTAGTTTATTATCAAGCCAGTTCTCTTTAGTATTGTGTTAATTCAAGATTTTTGCCAATTAAACTAATGACAACAGATTGTGACTACCTGATGTCTTTGGATTAGCTGTTGTATCTGGGAACAAAAGGGACAGTGTGAATGGCAAATTTTATTAGGCATAACTTCGTGCAATGTGGTTAATAGGAGCAGCTTGTCAGATAAGTAGGCCAGTAGAATAGAATGCCAGAATTAGCTTCATGTAATTTAAATATATGTAAAGATAACATTTCAAGGCAACAGGGAAAAATAAACTTTAATAAGTGGTGTTTAAAAAACTAGTTGCAGTCTGGACTCACACTTCGCATACTGTAGGTGAATTTGGAAAGAATCTAGTTTTTAATATAACATAATACAACTATATGTAAGTCCTAAAACCAAATTTGGAGCACTTCTTTTGCAGCCTAAAAAGAAGGAAATCATTAAAAGTTGGGCAAAATAAGAACTTACTTCTTTTCCCAAGAGATCATAACAAAGTCAAAAGAAAAATATGAAACTAAGGAAAATATTTATAATTTATTGACAAAGAATCTCTTTAACCTACCTCCAATATGAAGGAAAGAAAACATTCACAGAACAATATGAACAGATACTACATAAACAGAAGTATATATATGAATTTTCAGTATTTGAAAAGGTACTTAAGCCTCAGCCATTATGAGAGAAATGCTGATTAAAACTTTTAAACTTTAAACTGATATTTTTAACCCATTATATTGACAAAAATTCAAAAGTTTAATAACATCTTCCATTGGCAAGAAACAGGCTCTCTCAAACATTGTTGGTAGAAACTTAAATTGCTGTAGCTCCTCTAGAGGGCAGTTCGGCAGAATTTGTCTAAATTATAAAACTGTATGCCTATTGGTATTTGAAACAGTTCCATGTGGCATCATCAGATATTCTGGACATCTCAAGAAATAAGTGTTCTGCAGGATTATCCATTGCAACCTTGTTTATGTTAGCAAATGATCGAAATAGAGGACCCATTACCTGCAATTTGTTTATCCACACTCTCAGTAGTATGCAACTGTTAAAACAGGAGAAAGAAGATGGCTGGTCGGGAAGGGTGGAAATGAGAGTGGGCAAGATAGGGTGTCCTTCACCTGAGAAGACCCCATGCTTGTCGGTAAGCGTGAAAAGTCCATTGTTGACCTACATTACACCCACAAAGTCATACCAGAGGAGTGGGGAGAAAGGAATATACAATACTCTTATGGCTTGAGAATGTAATTTTTAATTCTTCATAAAAGATTCATGAGCAGTTATGAATTATATTTACCTGATGTCAGGGCCAGAATGGGAGAGTGGTAAAAAAGAGACTTCTGACATGTCCGTTGTTTCACTCTGATATTTAAAATATGCAAGATCATACATGCTCAACACCTTCACTAGTGTTTTTGTGTAGCACATAAAACAAAGCAAAAAACTAAAATTAACAAAAAGATCAAAGAAGAAAAATACATATATATTTAGAGAGCTTCTTTCTCTTTAGATTCAGTAACATAAATTTAGGCAGTAAGTTAATGTGTGGTACTAATGATTTTATGGAATTCTGGGAATACTGTGGTGGTTATATTATTCTCCTATCTTGAAGTGAAATAAAAAGTTCCTTTATTACATATTTTTAAAGATGCTCTAAAATGGCCTACTCGTGCCATGGATAATGGTTTATTTTTTTATTCATTCAGTCATTTGTTCTTTTGTTCATTGGAGACAGGCTCATGCTATCTTGCTATGGTGTTCAGGTTGGCCTTGAACTCACTGTGTAGTCCAGGTTGGCCTCAAACTCACAGCAATCCTCCTGCCTCAGCCTCCCAACTGCTGGCATAACAGGCATGTATCACCACACTTGGCCATGGGTAGCTTTTAATTGCTCTAAATTCCTGTGTAAAATTTTGTGTTTATGTGCCTTTGCTTTCCTCTAAGAAAAAATTCATGAATAAATTAAATTTAGTATTTAAAAAAATAAATTTAGTGTTATGTTCTTTTGAAGCTTTTAGTCTTATTTTATAGTTATCTTGGATAATTGAGAATTGAAATTCTTTCAATAGCGCACAGAGTGGTTGCAGAGCAAGACTGACCCACAGACTGACTTTTAGCCCAGGGTGTTTCTGCACCGTGGCGGTCTATGGTGGAAGAGGCAGGAAGGGCCAGATGGAAGGTGGTGCAAGCTTTTCCTACTTGTGTTCCTGTTTTCGGAGTCAGAATGACCATAAAAGGTAAATGTTCTGAATCCATTCAGGAAATCAAAGCAGCCACAACAGTATAACTAGTGACATTCATGAAAGAACTTCTAGAAGGGCTTCACAGGTGTCAACAAAGATGGAATAAATGTGTTCCAAGTGGCGACTGTGGGCAAGGCAGGGAAATTCATATCAATGTTTACTACAGTGTTTTAAAATTTAAACATTCACCAAATATTTTGATCATCCTTTGTGTCTTCGTGTGCATGCAGAATGCCTGTCTTCCTCATATATGTTATTTCAGTAATACTCTTGATGGTAAGATTTTTACATGATATTTAGATACTAAGTAATGCTGACTTATTTTTGTTCAAGATTTGCTGTTCTTAAAAATAATATGTTCTGTTTTCAAAGTCAAGCCTTTTCTTCTTTCAGTAAGTGTTACATTCCTTGTATTGGTCCCCATGTGAATATTTATCAAAAATGAAATGTGTTTATTTCAGTAATCTGATTTCTTCATTTGAGGATGTGTCTTTGTGATGGTTAGTGCTTAGCATTTTACATAAGGAAATAATATTGGTGGTAACAAAGAACCTATAGTCTGATAAAACAATACTAATTAAGTTATGTGGTAGCTTTGTTTTCACCCTCTAGTGTCAGCAGACAGTGGTGAATTTAGGGGGTGTTCCTAAAGCTGTTGAAAATAAACCAGAGAGGTACAGAGTTAATGCTTAACTGGGAGTTAGTTCATCTCAGTAGTGGTAGAATTTAAAAAATGGTTCTCTTTCTTTTGTCTCTCATTATCACTATCACAAGACTACTCAGTGGTCTGCCTTTGGTATTGCCCTGAATTAATTCTATCGGCATGCCCCAGATCTATTTTTCTAAGGATATTTATATATTTAAGAGTTATCAGAGGCTTACCCTTTTCTTCAAACACAGTAGAGTCTTTGATACATAAACAGTATAAGGAATGTGATTGTGGGTTACTTGAGAACACATTGGCCTTGAAAACAGAAAACCTAGATTCAGACTTTACCTTAGCCACTTACTCACTGTGTAACCTTTGTTGGTCAGCTTTCTCTGTGATACTTAACTTGCTTCTCTGTAAAATTACTTTCCCGGTGAACCTCCGAGTGTGTGTGCTGCTCTCACACTCACCAGGCCTGTGATGTGGCATTCTTTGGTGCTTGTCTTTCAGTGATGTTAACTAACAGTAGGAAATTTATATACAGAGCAGATTTGATAGTTAGTAGGGATTTGAAAGAAATAAGCATTGTATTCGTATATTAACTGACTTACACAAATCTTCTCTTCATTTTTAAGAGAAATGATCTATCTTGGCAGAACCTTTGCATTGACCAAACAGAAAACATCTGGGAAAATTTTGTTAGTCCAGTTATTCTATTTTTAAGGTGCTATTAACTTTTTGAAAAAGATTATTCATTAAATACATAAATTGTTAAATATATTTGGAAATTAAGAGAAGCAGGCATTGCAGTGGGAGCTGTGATAACATTATGGTATGTTTCCCCACAAGTATAGAGGGATTTTGTCTACTTTACTCTCTTTAAGTGTAGTTAGAGGGTGTATATGTTCAGTGACAGGCCCTGCCTGGACACGGGAGGGAAGCAGCAGAATCCTTCACAAAGGAATATCACTGCCTAGTACAGGACTGTAACCCCTATGCACAGTATCGATTGAGGAGCAAACTATTTGTGTTTCAGCTCCGTGCAGTAGGAAAGGACATTCCTGTTCTCTTCTACCTGTGAAATACTTTTCCTTGTGTCATTTTCATTCACCCTGCTTTGCTCAGATGATTCTCTTCCCTCTCTCGTTACAAGTGAACAGATATGTATTTATTGAATTTTCATTTTATGTGAATGTTGCTGGCATTAAAAAATACCTGTTGGTTAAAACCATTTTTAATTCTTCACTAGTATTTCCCAGGATTCATTCCCTAAAAAGCAAACATCATGATGTAATTGCATATTATATACAAAAGTGATTCTAATTAGAAACACTGTATTAACTTTCTTTTTAGAACTTTTTGTCTTGTGAAGTACAACATGAGGTATGTTCACTGCCTATCATTTCTGAGCCTCGTGTGTTTATTGGCAGCATTTCTTCAGTGTCTTGCAGATTTTTATTCTCAACAGTTCCTATGGGAAATGTTGATAAACATGTTACTTTATTTTCTTCTTGCATTTTATATTATTCTGTAGGAATCTGAGTTAAACCTGATTTTTCTATTTTTCTCTAAATTATCCCTCACAACCTGCTTGAATTAGGGTTAGGGCTTTTTAAAATTACTGTCCCAAAAGTGGCTAAGACAGAAGGAGATAGGAAAGGTGTACTCAGAAAAGGTATAGCTATGCAGTATTGGATGCAAAGGTATTGACAGGGACTTAAGAGAAAGCAAAAGAGCTTACGTGTAAAAGCAGTGTCCAAGGCTCACTTTCTGATTATTTCAGGCCTTGCATTTCTCATTTTGTAGGGGGACAGAGAGAAGGGCGCCCACTCCTGTTTTCAATGCTAGTTAGCACATTGGTTAATCAGTCGTGTGAAGGCCTGCACAGTCATAAGAAAACCTATAGACAATAACAAATTGCCTGAATGTTGGGTGGCATAAAGATAACTGATTCTAGCCCCATTTCTATCTTCAAACTGTCTTGGAACCTTACATGGTAACTCACTTTGCAGAACTTAAAAGCCTAAGGTGTTTGTTTCCTAAATATGCTAAGCTTAGTGGTATATAGCATAGAATTTTTCTTTCATTCCACTCTTGATGATGATAGGTATGTTATTGGGGATAAACAAACACCTTCACTGCCCTCAAGTGGTACCAGAATAATTTGATATAAGAGAATCTATATATAAGGATTTTTGTATTTCTAATTCCTCATAGAATTTAATTGCTAAAGTAAAAGACTAGCTTATAAAAACACCCAATGTCATAGAAATGATATATTTTATAGTCTAATTATTATGTGAGTGCAGCACTTAGAATTCTACTGAGCATGTTGAAAGGCCTGTATCAGTATTAGCTAATAATCATTATTTGTGATGACATTATTGATTTGAACTTAATTTGTTTTACTTTTCTTTCTTACCTGGTAGGTCAAACTGTGCTGAAAATATCCGCAAACACATTTTACATACTGGCAAACATGAAGGAGTCAAGATGTACAACTGCCCCAAATGTGACTACGGGACAAATGTCCCTGTGGAATTCCGAAATCACTTGAAAGAACAGCATCCTGATATTGAAAACCCTGACCTCGCTTACTTACATGCTGGTAAGGGGCTGAAAATATTAAAAATATTTGCTTTTAACAGGATTTCATTTCACTGAGCACAATAGCTGTAATTCTATTTGTATAATATAGCTGATTTATTTCAGTGAATGTGATACAAAATGTTGTCTGCTTCAAGGCCTATACAAAAGTATGCTCTGCTCTTATCGTATTCAAATATGAAAACAGACCTTTTCAATTGTATTTTATCCTAAAGTCAAATTCAAAACATAGTTGAGCTGATGTGATAGTTCTTTAACTTTTGTATTTTGATTAATTGGTAAGAGTAATTTTTTCAAAAACAAAAAAACTCCATCATTTTCCTAGGTATACCTGGAAAGAATAAGAATGTGAATGAGGAAGGGGATGCAACATCTTGAGGGTTAACAAAATACTCTTCACTTTGCAGAAATTAGGAGGGACCCGCATGGGTCTTAGGGATGTGGGCTTCATTAATATGAGGGGATGACAGTGCAGATGCTAAAGTGCTACCTACGAAAGGAAGCCAAGCAGCACAGACCCATTCATACATAAGCAGCGGTAGCTAGTGAATCTAGCCTCTTAGATTACACATGGGTCAGTTACAGTGGAAGGGATCAGATACAGCAGCAGTGGTAGGGTAGAGCAAATCTGTTCCTGTAGTCCAGCTTGTGTTTAATTAACAAGGTTCCTTGAGGGTTGAATTTTGTGCAGAACAATGTAATGATGGATTGAAATCCTAGTTGAGGAAATACACCTGAAGTAAGCATAGGGAAAAGTCCTAAGATGTGACACAAACACTACTGTGTTAATACTGCCAGTGGATCCTGAATCCATTTAAAACAGATGGTCTGGTGCCAGTGAGAACCTTTTAATCTCTGCTGCACCCCTCTGCTCCCATGACCTCAGGCAGGCTAACCTGACAGATCCTGATTTCTCAGGTGTAACTCTGTGTGAGGACACCGCTTAAGAAGGCCATGGTGAGAATTTTAAAAGATAATGCTGTGAAGCTGTTAGCACAGGATACTTGAGTGCCAGAGGGTCACAGACAGTATGGATGAGGGCAGGTCACCATCATGTGTGAAAGTTAAGAGCCATTCAGGGGCTGGGGATTTAGCTCAGCTGCATAAGCGCCTGCCTCGCAGTCGTGAGTTCGATCCCTGGTACCGATAAAAAGGAAAAAGACAAAAAAAAAAAAAAAAAAGAGAGAGACTTTCATACAAAACCAGACCCTGCAAAATATGTCAGCCAAGTATGCTCACACTGTCTACATTAAAGGAAATAGAACTTCATGTGTCATTAAATTTAGACCAAAATGCTTAATATATTTGATGAGATCTTTTTATTAAAGGAATACTTATTTACCCGTGGTGTATTTTGTCAGATTTCTCAGTTTACTTTCATATGATCAACTTACTAAAGTCATGGTATCTAATTTAGCAATCTGTTGTATGCAGGGTTGCTTTTTTGAAAAATGATTGAGCAGGAGTCTCTTCTCTTTTCATTTTGCCCATGGTATCACTGTGCAGGTTTTTAACTACATGGCTTATCAGCTTTAGTCTACATAGACAGATGAAGTCAAGTTGGAGTATCTCTGGCCATCTGTACCTGTGGACTTCATTAATATGAGAGGATGACAGTGCAGATGCTGAAGTGCTCCCTAGGAAAGGAAGCCAAGCAGCACAAGCTGCCTGCTCTGCGTTGTCAGTGGAGTCCCCTTTTTCCAGAGGCCACTGATCACCTGCTTCCAGGACAGGACTGACAGAGCTCCCTTTCACTGCTCCAATTAGATATTAAGAACGGTTTTCCTTTTTATTTATTTTCCCTCTAATATCATATAAAGTATCTCCAACTTTTAAAACAATCAAATGCAATGGAAAGGGGAATCATGGCAGACCATAGCCAAATGTTCATTTTGTGTTCTGTTGCAGGATCTGTGTACTAGTGATGCTGAATTCTTGGTGGTGTGTTTTGAGATCTCGTTAGCAATACAAAAAAACATTTTAAAGATACTCATCCTTCTTTCCCACCTGTGTGTTGCTCATCAGTGAATAGTCATGGTTTTCTCTGTAGATGGTACCACTGCTAAGAGAGGAGTCCTGTGGCCCTTGCAGGCATTGGCTGTTTTTCCCTCTGCATGGTGATTTTGTTCTGCAATCATATTCTCATTCTGATCAACCTCACTTGTTAAGAGATAAGTTTTTAAATGATAAAGTGTATTGAACTGACATACTTTAATCTTGTAATTCTGAATGACCTGTGTGGTACATTTCACTGTGCTATTTAAATCAGTCTGTCACTGGCTGCTGTCCCTCTGGCGTTTGATGGTGGTACCAGGTGCATGTATGAAGAACTCGCTAACAAGAGCTAGAGTGTGAGGTTCTGAAGGGTAGTTGATACCATCCTCTGGTATCTGCAGCATTCATACGCTGACAATTTTGTAACTCAAATTCAGTGATGTCATGTAGTTCTTTCAATAAAAGATTGAATTTAAGCAACCTTTTGCTGTCCAGCCCCCTCCTCAAAATTATTTTATTCCTGATCCAGCTAGCCCCTATATTATCAGACATGTAAAAGTCTGTTTGATGGAAACATTTAACAACTGAAAAGGCTTGTGAGATTTTGGGTATTTTAAATTTTAATTGATCGCATTTGATTTTTCTTTAAGAGAAGTTCTGAAAGAGGTTTCCTATAGTGTGCTATTCTGTTGGGCTTGCTAAAGTGATTTATAATGGTAACTGCATTATGGAGGTGATATAATGCATTCAAATTCCACAAGACTAGACCTCCTCAAAGACCTAGATAGGCCCCTGCTGGGCAACTTTGTAAATTTAGGCATCTCTAGTTATCTCTGGGTTTCTTCTCAGTGAATTAGGAGTTTGAATGAATTTCTTGTAGTCCTCCTGGTTCAGCAGTATGTTTCTGCAGACGGGGCTTATAGGTCAGAAAGATTCTAAATTTATCATTCCTCTGTATATTTCTTTAGAAGTGCTAACTCTATGGGCCACAGTTTTCCCCTCTCTAAGCTGTTGATAGAGACATCTACCACACAATATTTACATAATCTAAATGAGATAGTACTACATGTAAACCATGTGATGTGATCATAGAATTAATGGTTGTTCAGGTTTTTTCTCCTATTTGACAAAAATTCATGATTGTATCTTTTCCTCAGTCTTTTGCAGGAACTAGTATAGAATGATACTGGTATTATTTTCCAGTTTGCACTTCACAGAATGAAAATGTTCATGCAGATTTTAATTTTAACATCAGGATATGTTTAACACCGATGGACATGTTATGTCTCCATATCTGTCCCAAGCCTCGTGTGGTTATAGGTGAGGCTTTTCAGAAGTGGCTGAACCTAGAGTATGTGATGCTGGGGTTAAGGATGCAGTGCTAGGACTGACTCAGTGTACACTGCGAGGGTTCAGGTGCCCCCCCCCGCCCGGGGTCAGAGAATATAAAAGACGTGAGAGGGGCCACCGCTTCACCACACCACTGCTTGCTGCCACGTCACAGTCTTCTGCCTTCTGCCTGCTAGGAACGGTGTCTCCTCTGTGATACCCTTCTTCCAAGCCCTGGAGCCAGCTGACTGTAAACTGAAACCCTTACAAACTGAGCTACGTAAACCTTTTATCCTTTAAGTTTAAAAAAGTAACTAAGACAATATGTATCCTTATTTGAAATACAACACAAAAGTGGTTTCATTTTTTCCCTTGAACTATTTGCAAATGTAGCATTTAATGTGTACTGTTTTAGGTTGGTTATTTTCTTATCTTTTTATTAACTATTAGATAGTAACAGAAATCCATTTCTAGCTTAAATTTTTTGTGTTTACAGAAAATAATCTAAGTCACTTCAATCTTTTGAAATTGGTAAGGGTGTTCTTTGACTCCAGCAAATGATGAATGTTGCCGAGTGTGTGAGATGTCTAGAGGGCCTCTAGCACTGATGGGGCTGTAGCCTGTGCTCCCTGTATGAGTTGCATCCAGTTTGTAGTAATGTAAACACTCTCTGAATTCTTGCTGAATTTTTATGCTGATTCTGTCAACTGTTTATGAAAGTTATATTAGAGTTTCCCACTATGGTATGGATTAGTCTGTTTCTTTCTATTCTGTTAATTTGGGTCACATGTTTGAAGATATATCACTAGGTACTTAGAGCTTCAGGATGGTCTTATATGTACACATTCACATGATTATATGTATATATTTCATTACAGTTATGAAATGTATGTATAGCAGTGCTTCTTGCCATAATTCTGCTGTTCAATACTAGTACAGCTGTACAACTTAACTGTAAGCAGCATTATAATTTCATTTCATTTTACTATATGCTAGGACATGCAATTTTGTACATGAAATGCTGTCTTTTACGTAGTATTTTATATTTAATTCAGTTACTGATACATTCATCACAGTTAGAAACCAAAACTATTCAGAGATACATCAAGTAGAGTACATATGAATTGTATATTAACATAATGAAATAGTTTATATCAGAGAGAATAAATTAACTACCACTACAAGCAACAGTGTGATATATATCTTCTGCTCATGTCACTGGATGAACCAAGACAGACACAAAGAAGTCCATTCCATGTATTTCCATTGATGTTAAATACGAACACAGGGAAAATTAACCTGTGGTCTTAGAAATCAAGATACGTTTTCTCTTGTGAATATTGACTACTAGAATAAGATGCAGTAGTACTAGTAATATTCCTTTCTTAATTCCAGAGTCAGAAATTCCCTATTCTAAAGAGTGTTCTTTAAGCTCACTGCAGATATAATGTGACAAAACTTCACAATCACATTAATTTCCTCAAAACTTGGCATTAAATTAGAAGTGGTCATTCTACATTATAAGTTTTTCTATTTAGGGAAATTCACTTCATTTCAAAAGTTAACTTAATTTGATCTCTTCAGTTTTAGCAGTTAGATTTCTGCCAGCTCTGTTTTTCCATGAATGAGCTTGGTGGTTATTCATTACACCTTCAGAAAGAATTAACTTTTTGCTCT